TATAAGTATTATTTAAGCGATTTTGAGTCAATTAAGTTAAGGATAAGTTAAATATAGCATTAGAACTTCTTCTGGCTCAATTGGAAGCCAAAATCAGAGTAAAAGTCCTGCTAAAATACTGAAAATAGCACTCGGTATTTTTGACTTTTGTGATCGAGAAAAGAGAGTGAAAACGCAGCGGACTAAAAATATCTTTGATGCCATTTTGTAGAGCTCGGCGAGTACTATAAATGAGAGAAAAACAAAAAAGTTCGACTGAACACTTTTTGTGCTGGGAGGCCTGAAAGTTAGACATTTTGTGTCACGTTTCTTAGTGTGGTGGGTATGCTCAAAACTAAGTTGTTGGAATTAGATGAAGAAATTCGTCCATAGGCCTGTGACAGTTCCGGTTTAGTTCTAAGGACTGTAACTGTCGATCTGTTCAAGTTAAACCGAACGGGCTAAATTTGCTTTGTAGATAAAACAATATGGGCTACAAGAGAGAATAGGTTTATAGAAGAAATATAATTTTCAGCTGAGTACCTATCTATGGTGTTAGGTCGTTTCTTTGGTGCGGAGACATCTAGGCATATCTCTTAGTTTAAAAAGCATTTTAAGGAGAAAGGTTGTGTGAACAAACACACACGCACACAGACTATTTCCCTTTTTTCCTCGAGCGAAAAAAGTTTAGTGTGAACAAATACAAGGACAGACATTTTATCGCATATGACCATTGACTTTACCAGTCATCGGAACTAGTTACGCTTTACAGCTTTTTATTACTGATATTGCTCGAGAGGCACTTCTAACATTTCTAAGAAACGTTTCGTTCGAGGGAGATTTCTAGGAAGAGGGGGCACACTGATCAGTGGTTTCCAATAAAACTTGACCAAAAGTAACTCGGGGTGGGGAATCCGAATCTGCTGACGAAACCTGACCAGAGGCTGTCGCAGGAGTGGGGGACGACTGATCAGTGGTTTTCAATAAAAGTTGGCCATAGGTAATCTTGGACGAGGAATCTGAATCCGAGCTGAGATTTTAATTATAAAATTATTTTGGTACACATATTCCACGCGATGTACTGCCAGTCTGCTAACAGAAAAACAATCGTTGATCGCATACTCTTCGAGGCAAATCCGAAATTCTTCCTGATGCCGTATGCGTTTTGTTTTCATTGGATTTGCACCCGTGCTGTATTGCCGATGTAATGTATCGTCTGTGAATTTATCTTGTATGTTGTACTCTGTGATTTGATGTCCGAATCGAAAAGATGCGAGTATTCGAACTTTGAAAGTTCGGCGATTGGATTTCCCCAAGCATACAGATGATTGTGTGGAGAGACAATAATAGAACACAATTGTTTGATTTTGATAAACCAAGGTGTGGATCTTTCCGGCAGATATTGAAGTTCGATGATGATAATAATCCTTGGTAAGTGCGTTTTGACAAATTCAATTTGTACTATCGCTCCTTCATGCGTATCGACATCGTCATCTGTATCGAGTGTGTAATGGAAACTCGTTTTTGCTTCGTCGATGAGACTATCGGTCACATCCATGTATGTCTTTCGATGAATGTAAATGCTGGTGTATTCGAGTGGTTGTCGGAAAGGTGTCAATTCGCCTTGATCACATTTTCGTTGTAGTTCATGTTCTAATTCTAATTTTTGACTTTCACCGAAGATTTCTACGACGGACTCGTTCGAGTGGAGGGATGTAGCGTTTCGATGAAATCTGAAACAAGAAAAAACTGTTTTTTCCTAGCAAACAGGACTCGTATCGATGGAAATCTCCAAGGAGACGATTCCTCTTCCGCATAATCCCTATCGATTTGTTGATAATCAAAATATTGATCAATGAGGATGTGTTTGTGCACTACATTGTTAGTGAATATTCGATCGTCACCGTGCTGTTCCACTAATAATCGCTCCCCAATGAGAAATGCTAATGTCGTGTCGATTGTAATTAATATAAGAAAATGAGTTAACAGCCCCTCATCGAGAGCGTGAAGTGGAAATCTAACATCCCGACGGACATTGCTGGATTAATCAGTGTTCTCGTAGTTATAACAATGACAATCATTGCATTTAGTACGATCTGACTATTGATCATTTTTATTTGATGTTTTTGCGTTCGAATATGGGAATCATCGTATCGACCGTGATCTACCGTATCAACGTTTGTTTCTTTACATGTTGCATTACGTATGTTTTTTCTGCTAATCGTTGGATAATTTTGAAAGGTCCTTCGTGCCGAATATCGAATTTCTTGCGATTGTTTAACATTTTCACTAGAACTAAATCGTTGACGTTATACGATGGATTGGATCGATGTTTATCGTAGCGGGTTTTGTATTTTCTTGATTTCGTCGTATACTTTCTCTGACGCGTTCGGTCATTGAGAACAGATACGCGTTCAATTTTTTGACGTGCTCTGGATCTTGTCCGAGTGATATTGTCTCTTCTTGAAAATCGAATGGTAGAATCGGTGCTCGTCCGAACATCATTTCGAACGGGATTTGTTTTGTTGTTGCACGGATTGTACTGTTGTAGTTGAATGTTACAAGTGGTAACTGTTCGCCCCAGTCAGTCTTTCGTTCGTTCGACAATGCTACTATTTTCGAATCCATTGTTGGATTGTATCTCTGTACTGGGCCGTTTGTTTGGGGATGATAGGGAGCACCGTACAAGTGTGTGACTCCGATCTCTTTCAACAAATTATTCATCATTGCCGACGTGAAATGTGTACCGTTATCAGTTAATATGCAGCGTGGCGTTCCGTATTTATAAATAACATCGTCTTTTGGCTGAAATCCATCATAAGCAGTTGCCAAATTCCGGATGATGGTTCGGTCCATTTTAATGTTCTCGGTGGTTTACATCGGCGCGGATTGTATTGTGCGCATAGTAAACACGATTGTACGTGATCCGTATGTCTTTGATCATAGATGGCCAGAAATAACGTTGTTTTATTTTTCAAATGGTGTGGTCGCGACCGAAATGAGCGGCGTTTCCTCGCGCATCGTGATAAATTTTAATATTCCTTCATTCAGGCATCTCTGACAGCATAACTTGTTAACTCAACAGAAAGATTCCTTCATTTTTGTGTCTCTGAAAGTACGCCTCCTTGTTATCTCAATACAATGATTACCTAACTCCGTCACTCCTCTTTCCTTCTCTCTCACTCTTTCCCTCATCTCTCGAAGGATACCTTCTACGTATTTCAATAGAATCATTTCTGCAAACCTTCATTCCCGCATATCTAAAACTATACCTGCTTGATATCTTAATAAAAGAATTTCTTAATTGCTTCATTATTACTTTCATTCTGAAAGTATGCCTCCTTGTTACCTCAATGGAATGATTCCTTCATTCCTGCAACTGTCAAAGTATGCCTCCTTGTTATATCAATACGATGATTCCTGGATTCCTTCATTTCTGCATCTTTCAAGGTATGGCTGGTTGTTATCTCATTGGAATTATTCCTTCGTTCCTGCATCTCTGAAAGTATGCCTTCTCGTTACCTTAATGCAAAGTTTTTGATCAACATCTTATCCGAAAGAGCAGAAAAAACTGAACAGTATCTCATATTCAGAAAAATTGCGGATTCAAAATATGTAGTCAGAATAATGAATTTCGTAAAGTACTATTATTGTTGAGGTGCTTCCACACACTTTCTAAAATCTCATTGTACAAAACACTTCTTTTCTTCTCCTCCTTTTCTAGAAGGAATTTACTCTCGTGTTTCGAAAAATGCTGCTCATATATTGACTATCGGGGCAAAAAGAGTCAGTACATGAAACTTTATAATTTTTATGCTTCTCATCCATTTTCACGGAAAAACCTCGATAGTAATCGGATGATGATATACCTTAGAATCAGCAAGTGATTATATACATGCCCCTCTTCGCTCAATTTTTTTCGCTCAAATAAGAAGCACAAGAATTACAGAGTTTCATGCACTGATTCTTTTCCCCCTGATAGTCAATATATTGAGCATCGATAAAAATGAAAATTTGTTCTTTTCGTATTTCTTGTTTCGAAAGAAAAGATGTTCTGTGCACATAAAATACGAGTGAGTAGAAAAAGCAAATTCGAACAGAACAAAATAAGATTAGAAGAAAGAAACATACCAGCGTGATATCTTCTTTGATTCTTTTTAGCTTTTTAAGTTCGCAGTCTGTAGATGACAGCGATGCCGTCCATATAGATTATTGACCATCACCATTGTTCGCTTGAGGGAGGTCGTCGAGAACATCAATTTGTCGATTGACAGCGCCGACCAATGCCTTAGCAATGTAATCGCTCAGCGAAAATGGATGGTTAGCTCCATTCTTACGACGAATTAATTCCCTTTCTGTTCGAAAATCATCAGTGACATCAACATTCTTCATCGTTTGATCCCATTGTCTTAAGTAGTTAACGCTGGCTGCGTCGTCCGTGCAGACTAAAAACATCACATGAGTGGTGTCTGAGTAGCGCTCATCGTTCATGACATGTTGTAATTCGTCCACATTAGGTTTGCCTCTTTCATCAGTTGGCTCTCCATCGGTCGCGATGAATATTAATAACTTTTTACTGTCATTAGGACGGGTGACTGGTAATTGAAGAATTTTTCGCAGGACAGGTACTAGTGGTGTATAACCAGCTGGAGGCGCAATGAATGCTTGGTCGACCTGTCCGAGATCGCGGATATTGCGAAAGGATTCTCGATTGAGAAAGAAAAGATCGAGGCCGTTTGAATCAAATATACAGCCGATTTCAAGAACTATCTTTACAACTGAACGAAGTTCATCCCAGCGAGTTTTACCGGTGCCATCAACAGGAGTTTTCATTGAGCCGGAATCGTCACAGAGAAGGACAATCTCGAAATTACTGAGTGGGCGAAGGAGTTCAACCGTTTCTTCTGGTATTTCATACTTATAAGCCAATTCACGAAGTCGGAGATCAACTATTAAATTAGAACATGCAATCCGATTTCATTTTTTTTAAACTATTTTCAAACAGAATAGACCAAAAATAATATCAGCTGTCGAACAAAAATCAATTTTTTATTGAAGCTCCGAAAATACTAATCAGTGGCAAATCATATAGAAACGAATGAATGCCATCTCAATTTTTCATTCGGCAATACATTTTCAGAAAAATGAAAGTCATCGGAGAAACAAATTGATTCCGTCGTGGGATGCAGCATTCAGTTGTTTATCTGGGAAAACGGAGTTTTTCTACAGTTTATCCACGAGGAATAAGACAAAGACTAATCAATAAACTAGTTAGCGCAAAAAATGTTGATGCTCTGCAGACATCGCACGGTGCGTAGCAATAATAGTGTATTCGAAAACGTTGAATTATGTTTTTCTATTGATAAACTATTAAGCTGTGCGTAGAAGGGAGAAAACGAATGGTAAGGCAGTGAGATTTTGTTTATCCGGCGAAAAATAGATGTGAACGTCTTATCATATTCCCTTGGAGAAAGCCAATCTACAGTAAAAAGCGACGGAGGCACGTAAGAAGCCAAATCAGCCCACGCTGAATTTTGTACTGAAAACTAGTCAGACCTTGATAAAAATCAGTGCTGTGGTAGCCTTTTCAAGTGAAATGAAAGAGATCCACAACTGCCTCCGGCCACTAGATGCCACTCCAACATCACCACAAAAAGGTGATCTTTTGACGGACGGAAATCTGCCTGGACATCTGGACCGTGTTAACGTAGGTTCTTTGACCTTTCCTACCAACCGTTAGAAAGAGCAAATCAAACTTCACAAATCCATATGTGAATCATCAAAACATCAGCTCTTCTAGAAAAAATTTCCGGTCATCTTTACCCATCGTGCGTCCATAATAGGCTTCGAAATGGTAGTCATCGATATAGCCTATTTTACTCCGACAATTCTATTTTTACTGCACTTTCGTTTATATACCATTTAATAGTCCGTTCAACGCTCTACTGTATGATACCATCGTGGCACGCTCAAAATGGGACCCAGGCTCTTAGAACCTGGGAGTCTATAGTCCACTAGGTTCCAGTTGGAAAGCGATTTGACAGTTTGATTTCCTCCTCAGGCTTTGGTGCTGATTCCAAATATGCCGTTTTTTTGACTGAAAGTCTGATTATTATGACAAAATCAGTCAAAAATGCATATTTTGGTGTACAGACGCATTACTTGAGGCTCCTAGGCTCTTGGAGCCTGGGCCCGTTTTGAGCGCGCGGCAATGACACCATGTTATAGAACGTTGAACGGGCTATCGAATGGTACATAAACGAAAGTACAGTAAAAACAGAATTGTCGGGATAAAATAGGCTATATTATCGATGACTACAATTTCAAAGCCTATTATGGATGCACAATGGGCGAAGACGACGGTCAATGGGTAGATTTCTGTCCGTCAGAAGACATCATTGTACACCAAGATCGTCCTCATGCACTGAATAAGGTGATGCACATGCCCTGACTTTTTGAATTGTTTGTAACTTCAAAACAATTTCAAATTATCACGCTTTCTTAGTCGCGAAGGCACAAACAACTCTGTTTCACGTCAGAGATCGGCGCGACGGAAAAAACGTCATCTCACCAGTTACTGGTTTGCGCTCTGAGGTCATCTCTTGGAACAAAACTTTTGGTATTCCTATAGAACACAGCGAAACGCGTTTTACACATGATGCGCACTTGATACATGTTGTTAGAGGCTAATAGAGTCAGATTTTTGATATTTTACTTTTCAGATTAATGGTGAGTGCCGAAAGTCCAAATTCGAAAAAGTCTCGTTAACTTTGGTAAAGATGTGTTCCTAATCACAAATCTAGACCGAACATGAAAATCGGGCTCTATTAGCCTCCAGCCAAATGTATCAGGATTCATTTAAGGCCTTCCCGAGCTCTCTGCAGTGTTTCGGCCTTAAAAGAAAATTAGTGCGTAGGACTTCAGTCCTGCCCTACCTAAAACAGCGAAGGAGACACATCGTACGAAGAATAGTTTCCTAAGTAAAACGTAATACAAAAAAGTAGTTCTAAGCGATTGAATAACATTGGCTTTTATTCGACCGCTTTAGCTGTGATTTTTGAAAAATGACACCATATCTCAAGCTGTGTGTGAATGTTCAGTTTGAACAGATGTTTAAACTTGTGAAAAAAAAGAATAGGATCCTTGTTTGAATCAAACCTTTTGGCTTGACTATCACAAAACGTGCAAAATACTGAGACCTCTGAAGTTGTGTTGTCATGATGCTCTACACTTACCCAATCGAGCCGACTGCGGTTGAACCGGGTGCTCGAAATCGGAACCTGTCCTATCCATTGCTTCTTGTCCAGTGCTTGTTGAATTCAAGGACGATAAAGTTGCGGTTGCGAATTTTGGTTCCATGCGGTCTTTTTTTGTTATCGTTAATTTTGTTTCGTTAAATATGTGCTATGCTAGACAGAATAATAAAAACATCATTGTTAGAGCTAGAAATGAGTCAACACTTCGAAAGTTGCAGAAAAACAGCAGTTGAAGAGTCTAAATCAAAGTGTTACGTCGAAGTTAAAAAGGGGTAGTGGTTATTCAGGATAATCAACTCAAAATAATAATGATAAATTATCATTGTTATTTTTTACTCATCTGAAGAATCTCACCAGAAGTAATTTTTGAATCCATTCGTTCTAAATCAGGCTTAGTTCTTGATACTTACATGTTTATCTACCAAGGACTTGGTCAGTTTCGAATACGACCAAATATTGTTACAGACGCCACCGAAGGATTCATAATAGTTGTTAGTCTTAAACCGTCGTACGAGAAGAAATTTTAGACGTTTTTTGTGAAACTCACTATAAACTAGTGAATGTAAGTTTGAATCCAAACTCCGGGCTCGTCCACTTACAGACGGCCCCCCTTACAAACCGCTCCTTTAGAAATAATCTTGCTTATGTATAGATTTTTAGCCAATTATGAGATGATGCACAAGTGACATTTAGCCCAATTTAAGGCGCATGTAATTCAAAGTTTAAGCTTACATTCCTTATTCGAAGCGTACATTCCCTTTTTATTTATTGCTCTGTTACTTACTTGACGAAAAAACGAAGCATGAAAGAATCTGCACTTTATCTTTCCTTCTATTTGCCACAATAAAGAACACAACGGTTGCCTCACTTTTGTTGTTGACAGAAGACATCGGTAAAGGTTACTGCTAGTATTCCATATAAATCTTTCATCGTGTGTGTATTTAAAGTGTTTCTTTTCAAGTTTCGTGAATACATACACAGTACTCATAAACCAGAACACAGCGCAAACATTATTAATAATCCAATACACTCTTTGAATTTATATTGACTCACTGCTGAAAAGTAACTAATATATTAAGGCGTCGCTAATTCAAAGTTGAAGCACTTTTTATTTTTAGCTTTAGGACACATGCCTAGATTTCGTTTCAGTTGCTGATCACGAATATGTTCTCATTTTTTCGATTTGATAAAGTTTTCATGGAGAAAAACTCAAAATACTGAGAACACCTAAAAGTCCGCACAAATCTATCTTTGGAGAAAACAGCGTTTAATTCTGCACCGTGTAACTTTCCGCTCTCATCAGTGATTTTCGGATTCCTTATGTAAAAGTGAGTCTAGACATGTGGTCTAGACCACATGTCTAGACTCACTTTTACATAAGG